ATTTTATTAGCCTCGGATGAATAAAAAACTCAAAAATGCTAAAACTTCTCTGGTTTCCAGCTTCTCCAGTGTCAGGATTTTCTGCTTCCCCTGTTTTATTGCATTGTAAAGCGAACATTTTTGGGTTTTGGACTAGTGGTTGGACAAAGGAAGACCATTGATAACCGTGGAGGAATGATAATAGGCATGTTTTTAATTTTTTTTATTGTTTGGACGGTTGCCTGCACGGATTGAACAGACAGTAAGACTAGAATTACCTAGGTGTCCTATGTCAGGAATCAAGGGACCCTGCAGCCAATCAGAACTGTGTTTTCACCCAGACCATGATATAATATTTCATAATGAAAATAATCCTTAGTTGCAGCCCAAGATGATAATTTCATGCAGTGTTTAGTATAAAAAAATACTTTTATTTGAGATATTAGGTTTACAAAATATTCATAGTACTTGTAAAGGACATTTTTAAATTTTGTATGGGTTAAAGGTTAATTAAAGGGTTAATAATTCATTGAAAAAAGATCCCTCTAAAACTCCCTAATAAAGAGAATTGTTTGCTGATGCTTTAATAGCACTGCTGCCAAAAGTGGGACTAAGAATGAAGAAAGAGGAAATGGATAAAAAAAGATTGAAGATAGACAGACAGGGAGAAAAAGAATAGTGGGAGAAGAGAGTGAGCGAGAAGGAAGGAGAATGATGACTCTTCTCTCCACATCCTTTTGTGGTCTCAGGCCGTGACTCTGCTCCCACCTCCCACATTGAAGATCATTCTCAGGCCACACACACACACACACACACTCAGAGTGACAGAAACCCCCTGTACCTGTACGAGGCTCTCCTGTGTTTATTTGTTTCTACACCAATAAACCCGGCTCTGGTAGCTCCTCACCACATGCTGCCCGCTCTGAACAGCTGAGCCGCTGGATTACTGGCAGCAGTGGTGTGGAGCAATTTCCAGTCTGTCCCACCACAGAGGAAAAGATCACTCACACCGGCTACTCAGCATCTCTCTCTTCCTTCCCGTCAGCCCTCACCTCGTTGCCACCGTTTTACAGGGAATCCCTTCTGAGCCCAGCTTGTTCAGACTGCCCCCAGGGAGCTTGAGTTTTAGTATTGGTTTGACATGGGGTGTGGGTGCTGGTTTCCGCTGTAGAGAGTCATCAGTGAGAACAGAGCGAAGGTTATTTTCTAATGCTGCATGGGCGGAGGTGGACAGGGAATAGTGGACGGACACTGGAGGGCCAGAAAGGCAGCCAGCTGTAGTATCAAAAGATCTTCACACAAACAAAAGAGATATTATGTCTTTTCTCTGTGACCTTGAGAGCGGAGACTTGATCAGTTTGATCTTTGTGCTCAGGCGTCTTTCCCTAAAGCAATATTCCAAATATATTACAATATCCCACAGGGAAGATCGCCAAAAGACTGTAAAAAACAGTACTTTCCTTATGAGTTTCTGCACACTCCACTAGTATGAGCTATGGTGATGGATAACAGCCAATTAGCATCATCCGAAAAGCGATTTGAGTATGTACTGGGAAACGGGGAACTACTTCACTGTTTGCAAAGGAGTTGAAGATAGTGGATGGTAAACTGACGATATAGAAGAGACTGAGGTACAGTTAAATACATCTGGAATTTGTGATATTGTATAGCAATGCTTGCTTATTTTATTGCTATTATGAGCCAAAGTGAAAGTAACTAATCTAGTTACTAATCTATAGCCACACCATTGGCTGTACAACAGCCTGATAACATACTCAGTCTAGCAGTAACCATGTTCACAATTTTATTTTAGCAGGCTATCATTTGCTAATTGATACTAAACACGGAGTACAGCTGAGGTTGATAGGATTGTCATTTGTTTGGTAAATATTTAGTCATGAACCAAACTATTGAACATAGTAAAATGTTGATCCACTGGCATCAGAGGATCTCCAAAGATTCATCCTCTGGCCACAATAAAACCCCAAACTAT